TAATTATTTCAAATTACTTAAAGGAGGGCAGACAATGTAATAGAGCAGTAGGAAATGCTAGCAGAATTCTTGGTTGTATATGGAGAGGTATTAGCAGTAGAAAGAGGGATGTGCTCATGCCATTGTACAGAACACTGGTAAGACCTCACTTGGAGTATTGTACGCAGTACTGGATATCGTATCTCCAGAAGGATATTGATACTTTGGAGAGAGTTCAGAGAAGGACTACTAAACTGGGTAATGGATTACAGGATAAAACTTACAAGGAAAGGTTAAAGGATCTTAACATGTATAGCTTGGAGGAAAGACGAGACGGGGGATATGATAGAAACATTTAAATATATAAAGGGAATCAAAACAGTAAAGGAGGAGACTATATTTAAAAGAAAAACAAAACTAACACAACAAGAGGACATAGTCTTAAATTAGAGGGACAAAAGTTTAAAAATAACATCAGGAAGTATTACTTTACTGAGAGGGTAGTGGATGCATGGAATAGCCTTACAGCTGAAGTGGTAGAGGTTAACACAGTGAAGGAGTTTAAGCATGTGTGAAATAGGCATAAGGCTATCCTAGATATAATATAAGGCCAGGGACTAATTAAAGTATTTAGAAAATTGGGCAGACTAGATGGGCCAAATGGTTTTTATCTGCCATCACATTTTATATGTCTATGTTTCTACACTTCTCATACTCATACATTACATATACATATATTTCTAGGAAGATCCAAGCCATATTAGAATATGAGTCAGAATAAAATTTATGCAATATACGGAAAGGCAGATAAATCAAGTAGAAAGTTTCATGATGTAGTAAAAAAGCATACATATGAGGTTAACAAAAGTGAAAGTAAAAATAAATATAAAATTTAAAAATGGAAAACAATTTTAGTGGACCACGTTTAACCCGACCGGTTACCTCCACTAGTTCCCTTCCTTCAGCCAGTCACGAACAATTTAAAATGTACAGAGACCCATTTCCTCCCCCAAGTAACTGGACAAGACCGAGTTCTGGAGGTACAACAACACTTTATTTACCACACTCGTCTTTTTAAAGCAAAACCCCATGCAAGAGGTGTACACCACACAGTCAGTGTCCCCTCCCAGGGTCCTCTTAGCGTGACACATGAGTTCCAGTCCCTTTGTTCCCTGTTCCCGCAACCCAAGTACAAGTTTTCCCACTTCTGGTGACATGGGGTCTTCTTCCCAGGATCCTCGATGCCTGGGGGACAAAGCGTGGTAGAGGGGGGAATCGATATCCCTTTGTCTCCCAGGCATAGAAAGTCCGCCATCCCAGGTCTCCTTCCCATGAGCCTCGGCACCTGGGAGTCACAGCACGGGAAAACCACTCGCCTCTTTGACTAGCAGTTACCGAAATCCCACCCAACCCAGCCATTTTCCCCAAAGGATGCCCACACCACACCAAGCCCCCTCTGTTCGCAGGGTCCCTATGTGAAACAAGTTAAGGGAAGTTTCTCCTTTCAGTATACGAATGTTCCCCGTGGTTGGCATTCGTCTACACAAACTGTGGCCACCCAGGGAAGCATTGATTAATTACTTCCCTTGCAGTTTCACACTTATATTGTGAGCTGCTAACGTTCTAATCAATTGGTGTGAACATTCCAATGGGCACTGGTGAAGTCCTCATTCGGGAACCGAACAGGGGGGAAAATAGGGGGGCAAAGCAAGAATGCTGGATAGCGTTCGTCTATACGAACTGGCAACCACCCAGGGGATGGCACGCATCAAGGCTTCCTTTGCAGTTTTTAGCATCAGGTGGAGGTGAGAATGTTCTAATGAGCATTCTAAATGGATTATTGGGGTGGTCCCCATTTGGGGGGCGAATGGATTCCCTTTGTGGAATCGTGCAAAATGTCTGCAAAATGTCAGAAATGGGAACAGACATTTTGAATGAACACACAAGGTAGTATACATAATAAAGAGACAGGGGGGATACACGAACAACAGGGGCTCCATCACAACAATATGCATAAAAGGGGTATATATTTGAGGAATTCAGTATTATACCTTGTTTAAATATACAGAAAATATATGTAAAGATAAATCAATGTACGAATAAAAACATATTGTACAAAATTATCACTATGTAAAAGGTGTACAACACAGAATAAAAAAACAGCATTTAGCATACACGAGTATAAAGTATGGTATGTAAAATAGAGTGGCTCTTTGTACAATAACAACTTACTCTTATTCTTTCTCCTCCTCCTTCTTTTTCTTTTCTGTGATATTAGTTATTTTTAGAGATTGCTAGGTAACTGTATGTTGTGACTCTTAGTCGGTAGTTTAGTGAGGCTGGTAAAAGCTGTAAAGGGTTTTGTTTCTTTAAGAAGAACTTTATGAGAGACGGGAGAAGATGTTATTTGAGGGGGAGGTTTTCTTTGTTGTTTTTTTTTCCTTCTTTTTTTCCCTTTCCCTTTTTCTCTCTCTTTTTATCTTTCCCCTTTTTCTCTTCCTTTCCTTTTTAGTTTTTCGTTTGATTGGTTTTTCTCATTTTTCTTTTTTCTTTCTATTATTTTCCCTTTCAGTTCCTCTCTTTTCTTATCCCTTTTTCTTCCCTTTTTTCTCTTTCCTCCTTTTTTTCCTTCCCTCTTTTTCAACTACCCTGCCTACTTCTCTCTTTTTCCTTTTTTTCTACTTTTCCCCTTTTAGTCTTCCTCTCTCTTCACTTTCCCCTTCTTGCTCTTCTTTGTGCTTCTTTATTGTACTGCTTTGAGCAGTATTGACTTTAAATTGCACTTAAACCAATGTTTAAGGGGAAAATTATTTACACAGCATTACCTGGCTTTAAAAAAGCAATTCTTTATCTCTAATTGAGTTTAGGGCATTTCCCCTAAAGTTCTCTATGCAGGTTACCTTCGTCAAAAACTGATAGTGTAGTTCGTACTACCAATTTGCCAGTTATTCGCAGTTGATCCCAGTTTTAAGGATATCCCCAAGATGTTAGTATGATCTTGCTAAATCTGTTTAGTATCCTAAACGTATTAGTTTTTGTTTCTATTTCTCCTTTTACTGTGATTTTGACCAGTGAGGTGTAATTAGTACCTGTTCCCTTTACACAGAATCCCACTAATGGTTCAATATGCAATTTCTATTTGCAAACATTGGCAGGGGGTGGTTTACTAACTCACGGCACCAGGCTTCGGTCACCCTGATTCTCCTCCAGACTCACTGCTTCTGCATACCTCCATGGAAGCCCCCTTCTCTCCCCGGGGTCAGTCTTCCTGCAGCAGCCCCATCAATAAGACTGAGAGGTTCTCCATCTGACTCCGTCTTACTCCTCCATCTACCATATGGCATGCTCCTTCCGTCTGCCGTATGGCGTGCCAGGGGCGGACTGACCACTCGGGCATATCGGTCATGGACCGAGTGCCCGAGGAAGTCAGGGGCCCGGCAGCACAGCCTTGCTCCAACTGGAACGGCAAAATTAAAAAAAATAAAACTATTTAATTGATAGGTTGTGGGGCCCCTGATACAGCTTGGGGCCCCACCACGCTACCGCCCTGTAAATAACCCCCCTATGAGACCTGGCAGCTTCAGCAGCTCTCTGCCAGGTCTCCTTCTCCCTGTCGTGCGGTGCTCTGTGTGATGGGATAGGCGGGGCCAGGAAGTGACTCCACTGTCACTAGTCACCCCCCTCTGTCACTAGTCACCCCCCTCACTGTCACTAGTCACCCCCCTCACTATAACTAGTCACCCCCCCACTGTCACTAGTCACCCCCCACTGTCACTAGTCCCCCCCCTCACTGTCACTAGTCACCTCCTCCTCACTATCACTAGTCCCCCCCTCACTGTCACCACCCCTCACTGTCACTAGTCACCCCTCCTCTATCACTAGTCACCCCCTCCTCTGTCACTAGTCACCCCCCACACTTGTCACTAGTCACCCCCTCCTCTGTCACTGGTCACCCCCCCTGTCACTAGTCACCCCCACTGTCACTAGTCCCCCTTGTCACCACCCCTCACTGTCACTAGTCACCCCCCCACTGTCACTAGTCACCCCCCTCACTGTCACTAGTCACCCCCCCTCCTCCTGTCACTAGTCACCCCCCCCCTCTGTCACTAGTCACCCCCTCACTGTCACCTAGTCACCCCCCTCCTGTCACCCTTCCTCACTGTCACTGTCACTAGTCACCCCTCACCCTCTTATTACTAGTCACCCCCCTCACTGTCACTAGTCACCCCCCACTGTCACTAGTCACCCCCTCCCACTGTCACTAGTCACCCCTCCTCTGTCACTAGTCACCCCCCTCCTGTCACTAGTCCACCCCCCCTCCTCTGTCACTAGTCACTGTCACTAGTCACCCCCCCCACTGTCACTGGTCACCCCTCACTCTGTCACTAGTCACCCCCCCACTGTCACTAGTCACCCCCCACTGTCACTAGTCACCCCCCCTCACTGTCACTAGTCACCCCCTCACTGTCACTAGTCACCCCCCCTCACTGTCACTAGTCACCCCCCCCACTGTCACTATTCACCCCCTCACTGTCACTAGTCACCCCCGTACTGTCACTAGTCACCCCCCACTGTGTCACTAGTAACCCCCTCCCTTACTCTGTCACTAATCACCCCTTCCCTCACTCACTTTGTCACCCCTTCCCTCCCTTACTCTGTCACTAGTCACCCCCTCCCTCACTCTGTCACTAGTCACCCACTTACTCTAGTGACAGAGTGAGGGAGAGGGTGACTAGTGACAGAGGGAGAGGGGGACTAGTGACAGAGGGAGAGGGTGACTAGTGACAGAGGGAGGGATGGGGTGACACAGTGACAGCGTGCGGGAGTGGGTGACTAGTGACAGAGGGAAGGATGGGTTGACTAGTGACAGTCACCACCTCCCTCACTCTGTCACTAATCACCATCTTCCTCTGTCACTAGTCACCCCCTCCCTCATTCTGTCACTAGTCACCCCCTCCCTCACTCTGTCACTAGTCACCCCTTCCCTCACTCTGTCACTGGTCACCCCCTCACTCTAGTGACAGAGTGAGGAAGGGGGTGACCAGTGACAGAGGGAGGGGTGACTAGGGACAGAGTGAGGGAGGTGGTGACTAGTGACTTGTGACAGTCACCACCTCCCTCACTCTGTCACTAGTCACCACCTCCCTCACTCTGTCACCTGTCATCCCCTCACTCTGTCACTAGTCACCCCTTCCCTCACTCTGTCACTAGTCACCCCCTCAATCTAGTGACAGAGTAAGGGAGGGTGTGACTAGTGACAGAGTGAGGGAAGGGGTGACTAGTGACAGTCACCACCTCCTTCACTCTGTCACTAGTCACCCCCTCCCTCACTCTGTCAATGTGTCACCCCCTTCCTCACTCTGTCACTAGTCACCACTTCCTTCCTTCACTCTGCCACTAGTCACCCCTTCCCTCACTCTAGTGACAGAGTGAGGGAGGGGGTGACTAGTGACAGTGAGGAAGGGGGTGACTAGGGACAGAGTGAGGGAGGGGGTGACTAGTGACAGTCACCATCTCCCTCACTCTGTCACTAGTCACCCTCTCCCTCTGTCACTTGTCACCCCCTCACTCTAGTGTCAGAGTGAGGGAGGGTGTGACTAGTGACAGAGAGAGGGAGGGTGTGACTAGTGACAGAGTGAGGGAGGGTGTGACTAGTGACAGAGAGAGGGAGTGGGTGACTAGTGACAGAGTGAGGGAGGTGGTGATTAGTGACAGAGGGAGGGATGGGGTGACTAGTGACAGTCACCACCTCCTTCACTCTGTCACTAGTCACCCCCCCCTCACTCTGTCATTGTGTCACCCCCTTCCTCACTCTGTCACTAGTCACCCACTCCCTCCCTCACTCTGTCACTAGTCACCCCCTCTCTCACTCTGTCACTAGTCATCACCTTCCTTACTGTCACTAGTCACACACTCCCTCTCTCTGTCACTAGTCACACCCTCCCTCACTCTGTCACTAGAGTGAGGGGGTGACTAGTGACAGAGGGAGGGGATGACTAGTGACAGAGTAAGGGACGGAGGGGGTGACTAGTGACAGAAGGAGGGAGGGAGTAGTGACAGAGGGAGGTGGTGACTAGTGACAGAGTGAGGGAGCTGGTGACTAGTGACAGTCACCACCTCCCTCACTCTGTTACTAGTCACGCCTTCCTTCCCTCACTCTGCCACAAGTCACCCCTTCCCTCACTCTGTCACTAGTCACCCCCTCACTCAAGTGACAGAGTGAGGGAGGGTGTGACTAGTGACAGAGAGAGGGAGGGTGTGACCAGTGACAGAGTGAGGGAGGGTGTGACTAGTGACAGTCACCCCCTCCCTCACTCTGTCACTAGTCACCCCTTCCTTCCCTCACTCTAGTGACAGAGTGAGGGAGGGGGTTACTAGTGACAGAGGGAGGGGTGACTAGGGAGAGAGTGATGGAGGTGGTGACTAGTGACAGTCACCACCTCCCTCACTCTGTCACTAGTCACCACCTCCCTCACTCTGTCACCAGTCATCCCCTCACTCTACCACTAGTCACCCCTTCCCTCACTCTGTCACCTGTCACCCCCTCACTCTAGTGACAGAGTGAGGGAGGGTGTGACTAGTGACAGAGAGAGGGAGGGGGTGACTAGTGACAGAGAGAGGGAGGTTGTGACTAGTGACAGAGAGAGGGAGGTGGTGACTAGTGACAGAAGGAGGGATGGGGTGACTAGTGACAGTTACCACCTCCTTCACTCTGTCACTAGTCACCCCCTCCATCACTCTGTCATTGTGTCACCCCCTTCCTCACTCTGTCACTAGTCACCCACTCCCTCCCTCACTCTGTCACTAGTCACTCACTCTGTCACTAGTCATCCCCTTCCTTACTGTCACTAGTGACCCACTCCCTCTGTCACTAGTCACACCCTCCCTCTCTCTGTCACTAGTTACACCCTCCCTCACTCTGTCACTAGAGTGAGGGGGTGACTAGTGACAGAGGGAGGGGATGACTGGTCACAGAGTGAGGGATGGAGGGGGTGACTAGTGATAGAAGGAGGGAGGGAGTAGTGACAGAGGGAGGTCACTAGTCACCACCTCCCTCACTCTGCCACTAGTCACCCCATCACTCTAGTGACAGAGTGAGGGAGGGTGTGACTAGTGACAGTTAGGCAGGGAAGGGGTGACTAGTGACAGAGGGAGGGGTGACAGAGTGAGGGAGGTGGTGACTAGTGACCGTCACCACCTCCCTCACTCTGTCACTAGTCACCACCTCCCTCCGTCACTGTGTCACCCCCTCCCTCACTCTGTCACCAGTCATCTCCTTACTCTGTCACTAGTCACCCCTCCCTTCCCTCACTCTGGCACTAGTCACCCCTTCCCTCACTCTATCACCTGTCACCCCCTCACTCTGTCACTAGTCACCCCCTCACTCTAGTGACAGAGAGAGGGAGGGTGTGACTAGTGACAGAGTGAGGGAGGGAAGGGGTGACTAGTGAGAGTGAGGGAGGTGGTGATTAGTGACAGAGGGAGGAATGGGGTGACTATCACTGTGTCACCCCCTTCCTCACTCTGTCACTAGTCACCCACTCCCTCCCTCACTCGGTCACTAGTCACCCCCTCTCTCACTCTGTCACCAGTCATTCCCTCACTCTGTCACCAGTCATCCCCTCACTCTATCACCAGTCACCCCTTCCTTCCTTCACAGTGACAGAGTTAGGGAGGGAGTGACTAGTGACAGAGAGAGGGATGGGGTGACTAGTGACAGAGTGTGGAAGGGGGTGACTAGGGACAGAGGGGGTGACTAGTGACAGAGTGAGGGAGCGGGTGACACAGTGACAGAGTTAGGGAGGGAGTGACTAGTGACAGAGAGAGGGATGGGGTGACTAGTGACAGTCACCCCCTCCCTCTGTCACTAGTCACTCCCTCCCTCTGTTACTAGTCACTCCCTCACTCTGTCACCAGTCATCCCCTCACTCTGTCACCAGTCACCCCTTCCCTCCCTCACTCTGCCACTAGTCATCTTTTCCCTCCCTCACTCTGCCACTAGTCATCTTTTCCCTCCCTCACTCTGCCACTAGTCACCCATTCCCTAACTCTGTCACTAGTCACCCCCTCTCCCTCCCTATGTCACTAGTCACCCCCACTCACTGTGTCTCCCCCTCACTCTGCCAGCACTCAACCCCTCCCTCCCTCACTCTGCCACCAGGTACCCCCTCACTCTGCCACCTGTCACAACCTCCCACACTCTTCCACCTGTCACCTTCTCCCTCACTCACTGTCACCTGTCACATATGCATTCACACAGACACTATATACAAAAAAGCACATGTAGTCATCCTGACATGCACAAGTGCATTCACACAGACTCAAATACAAACATGCATTGATACACAGGTCTTCACAATATACACATCCAAAGGAATGCTGTATTATGAGTTATATTTAACATTTATTTAATGCACATATATTTGGCCTTCAAAGGGCCTGGGATCTAATTTTGCCCGGGGGCCCCAAAGGCTCTCAGTCCGCCCCTGTGGCATGCTTTTTTGTCTGTGTTCGTATGCTCACTTGCTCACCTGAGATAGCTTCGAGATAGCGTGGTCCATGCCTCGAGTCTATTTCACTCCCAACTCTGGTTCTCTCACTCAGGCATCCTACGTCATCCGGAACGCCCACCACTCAATATTAAGATCAGGAAAATCAACTAATAGACTGAGCCTGCATTTTGGTGGTGCAGCATCATGTGAGTGTAGTTGATTTATGCACACATATATGCCTTTCACATCAGTAATGCACTATGTAATGCTTTTATATTTTCTATGCTGAACTCTTCCACTTAAGTTGTGGTAATATTATATATACTTGTTTATTACTTGTTCGTATGTTCGTATTGCTCTCACCCATTTTGTATTTTAATAGTAAATATTGGTGAAGTTTTGGAATAGAAGAATAGAACTGAGCAAGGGAAAAAAGGGCAACGGGGGAGTGTAAGGAGAATAGTGGGGAAATAGGATTTGAATGAGGAATATCTATCTATCTATATATCTATCATCTATTTATCTTTAATGAGAGAGTGAAAGAAAGAAGAAGAGAGAGAGAAAAAGACAAATGTGGGTGTGCTAACTAATGCATGTTTCCTAACTATACAATACATGTACTATATGGACAACCTACCCACAAACAGCCTCTGTCAATCTCCAAACAAGGTGCCTAGCGCCTGTATCTATGTTGCTAATATTAATCATAATGATTATGCTAGCACTATTCACGGATTTTACAAACTTTTAAAATAAATTCTTGCAAAAAAAAACAATGCTAATAAGCAAACATTTTATTATATACACTACACATATATTATAGATATAGAAATATATGTATACAGTATATCTATGATTTATATGGGAATTCATCCTGTGCTTTTAATTTAAACTTGCAAAAGAAACCTTTTGACACATTTTCATATTTCCATTCCTGATTTCCATATCATGTGTATTTAACAAGTCAAAACAAAATGCTACCTACCAAACATAGTGCATGAAATGTTTAACGAATATAGTATGTTTTGCATTCAAGACACAACACCATCTGTCACTAAGTACTGTTTATGAGCCAAACACTGTTTCTACATTTTTCCTCTAGTTTTGAAGCTTGTGTTAATGCTAAAGTACACAGTTATAAGTCTTTAAAAAAAAGGTAATTTATTTATTTTTTTAAATCAGGAACATTGTGAGCACAATACTTGGAAATCTTGACTATTTTTACATTATTTAAAGAGGTTTTAAAGCTACATTTTTTTGCCTTAGACCTGCCAGCTACTTATGCAATCATTTTTTGCAGGGCACAAACCTTGGATTATTTTTTATTTTTTTTGGGGGGGGGGGAGCAGGGATGATTTCATATACTTGGGTTTATCCAGTGTCAGATTGAATGTTGTTATTATGCCCTTTCATAGTTAGCATTAATAAGTACTTTTGATTATACAAATACAATATTTCTACTTAAACTGAATAGTAGTGAAAATAAAAATATTAATAATAATATAATAATAATATTGTGAATCATGATCTGCTGTAGGGTTTCTGCTATAGTAATAAGACCTAACTCCAGATATTCTTTATATCTTGTACATGACCCTAATGATCCACTTAGATTAAAGGAACCTTAGGCCAAGCCCTATGTCAACTCCTAATATTCAAGGTTTAAATAGGCATGTAATATAAAAGATACATTATACTGAAGAATGTATTAGGAGAATATAACGTCGTCCTACATAAATCACAGAAACAACCCAAATGCCTCTTTTTCATCTAAGATGGCACATTTGCCAATCACATTTATCTAGAACTGACATTGAGTGCTGCTCTTTTATTGTTCTTTAATTTTCTGATATTTTTGTATATAATTTGATTATTATTATTGTTGTTATTATTATTATTACAACGTTTTTCTCCTCCCTAAACCCCTTTCTTGCTATTAGTAGGCACAATGTATACCACCAAATCACTTTGTTGAATGTCTGTGCTACCTTCACACACTGTGTTCATTTCTTTACAATTTCTTTACATCTCTTTAAATTAAAAAGGCTATAATTTCATGTGACATATACATATATAAATTCTGATTTATTAAAAAAATGCAAAAAATCTTCTTTTACAGTTTTTGTAATAATAATTTGTACACGATTAGTGCAGCTTAAGAAAAAATAATTCAAAATAAATTAATTTTATTTCCTGATTTACAGAGTACATCTTATATCTAGGATTTCAGTTTATATTTGGTTAAACGTGACACGTGACAAAATACAAGGAGTGAAATACAATTTTAATGTGGAATGATTCTAAAATTGGCTTTGTTTGTCTTATAACATTAGTAGCCATCACAGAAAACAAAATTGCCACACAAAATACATATTTATGAAGTAGACATCACAGGTTCACCTAAGGGTATGTTGACACTTTATAAACAGTCATTTAAAAATGGATACATTTTTGTAGTTTCTTTTCTTATACATACCTACACAACAAGGTTTTTTTAATGCATAGTTTGTAAATCTGATGTGTGCTAATCCAGTACAAAATCTCAAACTGTGTTCAGAGAAAAATTCTGAGTACAACAATGTCCACAATGTACATCTTTGCCACTATGTTGTGAAGGTCCAGTGCCATATAGGAGACTCGACCATTTCAGTTTGTACAGTTAAAATTTTGATAGATACATTTGAGGAGTTCATAACTTATTTTGGGGCATTGTAGCAGTTTGAGTGTTCAAATTACCCACTAGCAGCATGATTATTTCTCTCTATGATGCTAAATCATAATTGTGACAAGTATTCACAATATGATTTAAATCTTACCTGTATAGTCTAGCTCTGACAACCCTCAGCTACCTGTCGTCATAAATTGTCATGGTACTGTGGCTGAACTACCAGAACTTCATTTCAAATGCCACTGTTGAACACAGAATTACTTCAATATATATTGTTGGATCACAGCAAAACACCCACCTACTACTGATCTTTATCGCTATTAGTACAAGATTAAGATCTGCTCAAAATATAACAAGAGATATTAGCTTAAAAAATAACTTATTTACACTGTAAAAAAAATAATAAAAAGAATAATATATGCATGTATCAGTAATATAAATGTGTATAATAACACAAATCTAAAATGCCTTATATATTAAAAAAAATCTCAATGAAGTGTTAAATGAACACTATAGTCACCACAACAACTACAGCTTAATGTAGTTGTTCTGGCGTCTATAGCCTGTCCTTGTAGGCATTTTCATGTAAACACTGCCTTTATCGTTCGTCATGTTTTCAACAAGGTTTTTCTATTTTTAATAAGTGTTTGCAAAAATAAAATATTTTGGGGGGGCAGTGCCACTGATCGCTTACATGGATTCACTGGTTTAGAAATGTTTTACTGATTTTTTTATTCTTTTTTACTATTTCAACTTAGAGATGGAATATTTGATTTTGCAGTAAGCTTCTGTGCCATTGCTTTTGGTTTGGAAACTGCAAGTTTCTTCCCTCAGTAATTTACACAGTGTGTGGCAGTTTACTGCATAAGTAAACACAGTCTGCACTGAGTGTGGCAAGTATTCTTTTCAACTCATGGTAGAAACAAAAGTTTTTTTAAATGTGTTGGAGCTGATAGTGGTTGTGATATTTTCAAATGGTCTTCATTGAGGTGATTTTTCAATATTTGAGCCTGATGGTGTAGGTACGCCAGTTAAATCCACAGATTCAGTTTATGGAAGCTGCTTTTTCCACACTGTGCTTTTTTTTTCCTTTTTTTTTGTTTGAGACAGATTATTTGCTTTGCAGTGTGAGTCTGTGCCATTGCAAGCTTCTTTCTTGGTAATATACACAAAGTGGAGCTGCAGTTTGGTAGCAGTGTTCCATGTGGATTATAGCATCATTTAAGTTTAACAATTAGTATGCAAAGCCTTTTTTCTTTACCTGTGTGCTGTGCAAGTATCAAAGCATTATCACTGTGTACAATGTGCAGTGTGGTCAATCACAATGTTACAGTGGTACACCAAGAAGCCGCTTATTCTTTTACGCAATAATAAGGCAGAGCATAACCCCTGCAAAGACAGACAGATTTTAAAACAGAGGGAGCAACAGCAGCAGCAGTACCTCATTCATTATTAACACCCTCTGGCAGAGAAGGGGGATGTTGAGTATAGTGCCAGTATCCAACAAAGGCAGGTTGGACGGAGACAGTTGGATGCTTTATTCCAGGTGTCCAATCGCCCTCTCTAGCGGACTCATTTTGTTTGATTTCATTGCAGGGTCATGTTAAATCAGCAGGCTAACAAAATGACCCAACTGATTTCCCAGATTTAAAAAGTACTCATACTAGCCAGCATACCTTTATTTTTTGACAGCATTAGTGTCAGCCCACAATTAAAAAATTGCTTGAACATTGCAAAAGGGTTTCCAGGCATTTCCACTCTAGTTTGAGGGCTAGCAACTTGAGGGAGAATGAAGAGTAAAGAGTGCTTCCAACACATTATCTGTGATAGGATGTCAGCACATCATGGAACTCCACTTTACAC